TTTTCTTAAAAAAACCTTCAACAAAGAACTGTATTTTTTTTTTTCATGGAGTTTTCTGATATGCAGTTTGCAGAATCTGGAAGCATTCAGATAGCTGTAAGGTAATTTGCCATTGTTCAAAATCTTCTGTGTATTAATGTGGAGGGAAACCCCCAGGACCCCCTCTCTCACTATAAATACAGGCTTTTCCCTCCTTTCTAGCATTTTCATAAATGAGGAAATGTAAGTTTATTGATGAAAAATCTATCATCTCTTAGAATCTGTGCATTGCAACACATATACTAATACAGTGTCATGTGATTTTATGAGTTCTGCAATTGCTGAATTCAAACCAAGTTTAAAATGGATTAGTTGTTAAACAGTAGAAGTATTAAGATTGAGGTTGAGGGATGCTTTTAAAAAAATGGTGCACCCTGGCACTGTGAAATAATGTCACTGGCTTGTGAAGGTGCAGAGAAGTTAGGCAAGGAAGGGGAAGGGAGCTCTTCTGTGGGATCCATCTTTTCTCTGCCCTCCCTCAGGCTTCAGCTGTATGAGGAGTCATGGCATCAGTAGTCTCCTGCAGTCTAGAAATGGAACAGTGACTACCAATTGGAAAATGAGGCACATAACCCATTTTCTGTTGCCTAAAAATTTTAAAAGAATGGTTTCTATAGCACAAAAGTTAGAAATTCGATTACATTCCTATGTAGGATTCTAGGCATACCCAATTTGAGGAATTTGCAGCTCCAGAAATCCAGTCTTGGTCTAACTTCAACGAGCAGGCAGAACTTGAAAGAATATATTTTGACACCATAGAGACCTTTCCTGTTGCATGACAACTCAGAAACTGTGACATTAAATAACACGCAAGGCAAAGACACTGGCTGATAGCATACCCCAAGAACAAAAATTTTGCTTCTTTCATTGTAGCCATATCATTAAACAGACTCTAGAGGAGTGTATCTATTTTCAAGAGAACAAAAGACACAGCTTAGGTTACACAAACACGTATAACTGTACATACACACACTTTAAAATGAATTCAAACATTTTTAAAAATTAATTATGAAATCAAAACATAAAGGGACAACACAGAATAAAGGTTGTAAGGTCTTAAATAAAACTTGTGACCAGGGGTCAGCAAACTCAGCAAACTGCCTTTCATTTTTTTGTAAATAGTTTTATTGGAATAGTTACATCCATTCATTTACATATTGTCTATGGCTGCTTTCATGTTCCAACAGCAGAATTTAGTAGAAATAGAGGCCATATAGCCTGCAAAGCCTAAAATATTTATTATCTGATCCTTTAAAGAAAAACCTGCTGACCTATTATATATTAAAAAGAGCATCTTCACCATGTCAATGAGCTGAGGTAACAGAAAATCATTTTCACCAATGTTTTTAAACCAGAATAAACACACTAAAATATCTCCATATTATATGTGGTTACTCAAATATTCTTAGAATGTGTGCAGCCAAAACCTGTAACTAACTTCAACATGGACAATACGAGAAATCTCTGTGTATAATTATATTTATGTAGATATCTATGCAAAGAGTGGATAAATATAGAGCTAGCTGATTTGAGGGCAAGAAAATACCAAGAAAAAAAATAACTCCAAATATAATATGAGGAACTATTATTTGGAACTTAGAAATATTTTAGTATATTTTTCTTTATATTTAAAAGCATGGGATGACTATTAGTAGGAGCCATACCAGAGAAAAAATAATTTAAACTGCAAGTTGTTACCCATGAATTGTGACAATTTTTTTTTAAATATAAAATAACCAGCACTTCTATAAAACATTTTTTTAATTATGTAAAGTGATATAGCAAAATAAGAATGTTTTTTCCTAAATATTTAGTCCAAGTTGCTTCAGAAATCAACTATTACTTTGACATTTCTCAAGAGATTTTAGTTATTAACTACAATTATAGCTGTTAGTATTATATAGTAACACATTGATTAAAATATATTATAAACCTTTTCTTCTTTAATTTAAATGAAATAGAAAATTAAGGATTTTATAACATGATACACACTGGAAAACATTTTAAATGGTATGAATTACTCTCATACAGAAGATTCACTGGAATCACATAAAATGTTCTAATGCTTGAAAGTGCCTAGCATAATGCTTGACTAATTAGGTAACTCCGTGTTTGTTCACTCATTCTCTCATGCATTCAAAGAAATCCGGGCTCAAGGAGAAACTGCATAATGAGAATGGCAAGCATAATCTTTTATCAACAAAAACAGTTTTGACAAAGACTTTGGCAATGGAGAGTAGAGAAGATGATAGGTTGATGGCCAGAATTTCAAACTGCCCGGGTAAAATCTACCAAGTGTGAAGCCCTGGGTTGCCCTAGATGATAACATAAAGATTCCAGGTTATAATCCACAAAAAGGATGCATTCCTTCAATATTCAGGTTTTACTTTTACTTATACACATCTACTCAAAGACAGGAATGAGTTTGTGTTAGAAAAACAGAACAGCACGTACATGCAGCCCACCAGAAAGTAGGAACCCTTTGACTGGGGTCTTATTCTGTTCTGAGATGTCTTTTTGGTTAGGGCTGAGTTCTCCTGGTTTTAACAACTTTATACTGAGTAAGTAATACTAGTAATAATAAAATTAGGCTTGAACCAAAAGTGAGACTCTAAAATGAAGAGAAATAAACATAGAGGGTGTTTTATTTTCATGTCTCAACTGATCTATTCTGCACATTTGTGCCAAAGGCGTAAGGTGAGGTGTCAGCTCTCTGAAGAGGCACCTGGAAAGGAGCATTTGTGGGCTCTCTGAAGGTCTTATTTATCCTGAGCAATAAGGTCTACAAATGCAAAGGCTATTGTAAAGAACAGAAGACAGTAAAAAATACTCTTAGAGTCTAAGCAGAATATAGAATAAGGATTGATTTTTGAGGAAATAATTTAAAAATATCACAAAAATAAAACATAACACTGGCAAGTCATTTGTAGCTGACTTTAACTGCCTTTGGTATTCGGGGAAGAAAAAAATGGAACCATTATTATGAGCTCTAGTTTTTTCATCATCATAAGGAAGGCAGGGATAGTGAAGAAAATCCTTCCTGTCCTTCTCAAAATTCTTTGCTTGAACCAGAACTGGTCCTAACAGACACTTCTTGCCTTCTCTTAAGTTCCAGTTACCCAAATAACACAGAGTAGTTGGGAATGGGAAGTTCTGTTTCCTCTTCACTTGAGAAGTTCCTGGGGAACCATGAAGTCCCTTTTACTCTGGATTCTTCTAAAGCAATGTGAGGGGGAGTTCACTGCCATTAGCACAGCTGCTCTGGGTCTTTGCCAGATCGGTTTTTTACTTTTCTTCAATGACTCCTAAGTGGGCTTGTGCTATTTTTAGGAGGAAAGCTAACTTTTTTTGGAGAACCAAATACTTTCTTTTTTTTTTCTAAAGTCATATATTAAAGCACTCTACTAATTCTAAAAAAATATTTTTCAAATAGTAAAAGATCACAATTTCAAAATATGTGATAAAATTTAACTCTTAAGGACCTAAAGAATTCAACTGGCTATATACTCTTACTTTCTATGTATACTGAAAAAATTTGAGGTGGCTATCATTTATGGATCATTTGTTGAACTGTGTAAATTGTTTCACTCTTTGTGGTGTAAGATAATCAACCTTAGAAAACATTTAACTGTTAATTTATTAAATCTTTCCCCAATTTACATCTGTTCCAGGCCAACAGAGGATTAAAAAGAAAAGCTATCAAAATAAGAAAATAAGACTTGAGAATTCCAAGGTCAGCTACTTGCATAGCTGAAACATTGTTTCATGAAGTCTTGAAATTCAGAGTAAATATTAATAATACTGCTCCCAACTTCTATTAATGTCAATGGCAGCTGTTTGTATTAAATGAACAGAGAAAATAAATGTCCTACACTGTGACAGAAAATTTATAAGCATTATATATTTATATTACAGTTCTTGATAAAATTTAAGTACCCCCCCATATAAAGAACTAAAAATTGACTTTAAAAGAAATATATCACTGTAAAACCCACTGATGGTAAGAGAAAGTTCCTTAGATATATTCCAAATTACATGTAATATGATTAATTGCACCACACTTTTATCACTAAAAATTATCTTGAAGCTTTCTGATTAATTCTTTGGATTAATAAATATCCTTGGAGAAAACAAAAGTTGAGTTTATTTTCTTACCGAAAATAGTTTTGAAAAGTTCACTTATTTGATTAGATAATAAATAAAAGATCCCCTATCCACATTCCAGATGGAATATTTAAGGAAGTTTCACTGTATTTTCTTTTTGATTTAATAATCTGTAACAGTAATTTGGCTCATCAAGGCAAATTCAGAGCCACATAATAGTACAGCACGTTTTACGAAGCCACATAAAGTTTTAAGTTGAGTAACTGTAAATTTATAATAAGGTTCAAATGAATAAAATTAATTGGTAGATTTGCTAGTTTGGAAAAAAATAATCTCCTACCAACAAAACCAAGACTTTATCTTAGAACAGGTTTCAAGGCAAAGGACTATGGCATTTTCCCCACTTTTTGTCATGCTACCAACACTGGACTGAACAACATGCATAAAATCCCAAACCTAGGCTCATAAGTGGTTATGATAAAAAGCACTTTTCATGATTCCATGTGGAGACAAAAACTTGAACAGTATTCATTGTGAGATCATGCCTCAGAGAAAAGTTAAATTTAACCAAGAAATTTTAACAAAATAGGTTGGATTTGAAATGGCTGCCAGTCTGGACATCCAATGAGGAACTTGAAAATAAGACAGGAATGGGTACTTCCATTGTTTTTTTTTTTCTCTTCAAATATTCTTGCTGCTGATGCAGTTATACTGTTCTTGTTTGCCTTAGCTCATTTCATTATTAAAATGGAGAAGAAAGGGATTAAACAATGTGTAAATATTTGATTTGAAAGCTCCATTGTGGGAGGAAACAAATATATAATGGGTTCCAAAGGCCATCTCTAACTCTGGCAAGGTGCTCCATATTCCTGGCTTGTTCTTACGAAGTCTAACTTCCTGATTCCAGGACTCCCTACACACAATGTAGTAGTAATAGGCATCATCTCTCACGGGACCATTCCATTAAGAATCAAAGCATGTCAGGTCCCTGTCCTACACGTACCAAAACATGTTTTGGTCAGGTATAAAATGGAATAATTTCAAAGTTGATGTATCTACAAGTTGAAAAGTCTTGCAGGGAAGAGTCACTTTTCACTCTGCCACGTTGATTTAAGAAGTTCAGATTTTCAAAACCCCCCTCTCCAGGGTATTTATGCAGTGGTCCATGTAAACAAAACACAGTTGAGAATGGTCCTTCTGGAACTACTTTCATCGAACAGCAGGATTTCCTGAAAGTGTAGTGTTGGCCAAATGTAACACTGGCAGAGGGTGAGCCTCTGTATTAAATACCCAGTGGTCTAAAGGTAAAAGGTCATCACCAGAAAACAGCAGATACAAATATCTGAAAATAAAAAGGAGAGAGGGATGAGTTTCAATTAGGATTTAACATGAGTATCAGGGTCTCAATTATAATGGCAGAGGAAAACAATCACTTATTTTGAGCAGCTCTGATGAAAAAGACATCACAGAACCTCAGTCTGAATCTCAGTTGCCCAAATCGTCTTAAACATATAAACAATGTGTTCAAGAATGGAAAATCCAGTAAGATTCATAACTAGTCCTGCTGAATTAAGACAAAAAAAGAAAACCCCACATGCCTATTTGAAGCACACAAAACAACAATGATATAAAATAAAACATTACATAATTTTTTAAAGTTTTCTTAAAATATCACTAATAATGTTCTGGGTTTAATGCAACTAAAAATTAACTCATATTTATTCATAAACACTAAAGGAAATAAGTAAAGCACATTATTTGGACCTAGCTAGAACTTTGACAAGAGATGTGGTGGCAAGTGCCTAAGGCATTGGACTACTAATCAGAAGGCTGGTGGTTCAAACTCACCCAACAGCCACTCCTCGGAAGGAAGGTTGGACAATCTACTTCCATAGAGATACCACCTTGTAAACCCAAGGGGAGGTCGCTATGAGTCAGGACCAACTCGATGGCATTGAGTTTTTTTGAAACAACTTTTATACCACTCCTCTGAATGCATTACTAGTTTTTGCAGTTCTTGGAGCAAGTATTGCAAGTTGTTATACAAAGGTTTCGTAGAGTTTTTTTTATAAAGAAAAAGCATAGTTTTATGGGAGATTAAATAATATATTAATGACTCTTAATGGGTAACACCACTATTTATACAAAGGTAAGGATTTCTGACCTCTCCAATAGCACTTCAAGCCACAATAGTCAGTTAGTAATTGAAAATGATAGTCAACATACACAATGAACCTTGCCTATAATGTTGGGCAAATTCTAATCTGAATCTAACTAGTGGGTCATCAAACTATGAAAAACCATACAGAGTCAAAAAAATCTGGGTTCTAACTCTTGACCTTGGTAATGACTAGCTAGGCCTCATGAAGCCTCAGCAAAGAATTCCTTTACACTTATTTTAGACCAAGTTTCCTCTTTTCTTATTTTGCTGATCCCTTCCTTATTGAATACTGTTTTTTCCTTTACCCACGTGTGATAGTTGGAGCTATGTGTCAACTTGGCTGGACCACAATTCTGTGGTTTAAAAACTGTGATGTGGGTTGTTCCAATGATGGGATCAGATGTATATGTTTTGAGCAGCCAATTTGTTGAAGGGGAGTTTCCCTCAGGGTGTAGCCTGCTTCCAGTATATTTATGGATATCCTGGGAAAAGAGACTCTCTTCTGTGGATTGGGATTCTGTTGTGCTGCCTACAAATGTCTGTGAGCAAACCATCCACCATTCGGCCTGGAGATCTTGGATTCGTCATTTGTTGGAGTCAACAGCCAGTGTACTGCCTGCCAACCTTCAGCTCGTCAGCCCTTGCAGCTGTGTGAGTTGGGAAAAGCCTCCAGCTTGACGTTTGATCCAAGAACTTGGGACTTGCCAGCTTCTATAAGTGTGTGAGCCATTTTCCTAAGATAAATTTCTCTTTGTCTCTCCATATATAAGCTTTACTGGTTTTGCTTCTCTATAGAGAACTCAGTCTAACACACCAAGTTAATACGTGCCTACCCTCTAGTTAGTGATTTCTATGTTTCTTAATTTAAAGATAGGATTATTACTATCTTTTTTTTTTTTATGATTGTTACAGTTCTGGATGACAGAGTGAAAAACACGTAGAACTGAGGTAAATGGGGATTACACAGCAACTTTATTACTGGCTGGAAACTGGGGAGTAACAGGACTTGCTATCTGACTCTTTGACTCTACCCTGAGATGTGCTTGGCTCTGTTTTATTTACAAAACTGCAGGCAAGGCTAGAACTGAAAACAAAACAATAAACTGGCTGGACATACCAAGAGATCCTATTTGGTATGCTTACTGTATGTTTTGATGTCCTGGGTATAAACATACCCAGGAGAACTATATTCAGAGCAATTCCATGTAGTGCTCCTGCATCTTACTTAGAAGTGGGCTAATGGATGTCTAGCTTTCCCCAATCTCATCACTTGTGGGAAAGAAAGAGTGAAAGAGTGGAGACAGAAAATGCCAACGTTTCTTCCAAATTGATTCCTTTCCATGGAAATGCCATGGAAGTACCTCAAGCAAACAAATGTTATGAAAAACAACAGGTAATGAATATGAAAGCTGTATGTAAGAAAAAGTAGTATCATTATTACATGAAAAAAAAAAAAAAAAGAAACACCAGTTGCCATCAAGTTGATTCTAACTCATGGTGACTGATGTGTACCACAGTAGAACCGTGCTGCAGAGAATTTTATTTGGATCATCTTTCTTTAGAATGGGCATGACTATGGATCTCCTCCAGCTGGCTGGCCAGGTAGCTGTATTTCAAATGTCTTGGCATAGATGAGTGAGCACTTTGTTGCACTAATTTGTTGAAACATCTCAATGGCTATTCTGTCAAGTTCTGGAGGTGTTTTTTTTTTTTTTTTTTTACAAATGCCTTCAGGACAGCTTGGACTTCTTCCTTCAAAGCTATCAGTTCTCGATCATATGCCACCTCCTGAAATGGTTTCATGTCGACCAATTGTTTTTGGTACAGTGACTCTATGTATTTCTTCCATCTTCTTTTGATGCTTCCTGCATCGTTCAAGTTGTGCCAACAGAATCCTTCAATGAGTTTTTACAGTCTGTTTGGTGGGAAAAGGCACTGGAAACTATTCCCTTTACTCCCTCTAATTCTCTTGGAAGGTTCTCTCCCCTGCTTCAGGCAGTTTCCTAACATGCACTTGCTGATCAGTACTCTGGTGAATACCTGAAGGGATTTTCTCTCCATGCAGCTCTCTCCTTTATTCACTCTGTTCTGCCAACTCTTACTTGGTTTCCCTAGACTCACAGTCCACCTCAGGTCCCTCTCCCTATTCTCTAATCTGGAAATCTCTCAAGACAGTAAGGTGGGTTGTTCTGGTTACCTATTGTTGCTCTGACAATAAATATACCACAAATGGGATGGCCTTAACAAACAGGATTTTACTCTCTTAGAGTTCAGGAGGCCAGAAGTCTAAGTCCAAAGTGCCAGGCTCCACGGGCTGTGTGAAAGCCCCTTGACCTTGGGCTTAAGCTCTGCCTCTTGCTCCTGGTCCACTGAAGCTAGAGGCATCTCTTCACTCAGGCAGCTACTGGCTGTTGAGGCCAACAAGCCTGAGGTCAACAAATAAAATGGCACAGTCCTGATGTTACCAAACCACATAGCTGGCCATTATATCAAGTCCATCGAAAGTCCCAAGGTCAGCAGAGCATGGCAGGCTGCTGAACAACCACACGGCTACATGCAGAGTCCAAGTGTGCCATAAGCCAGAGACCATTCCCAAAGCTGCTTCTTATATAGGGGAAGCAGACCAAATCCCAAAGGCAGCTACTCAGCTGCTTGTGGTAGAGCCCACCACGGATTTGATTGCCAGTCTCATCATGGGGGATAACTACCACCAGCTGTCCAGCCACTCAGACAGGCCCAGCCAAGTTGACATACAACTTTAACCACCACATGGGGAAATCATAGAGCTCACCTCTTTTGGTTCCTATCTCTCAGAGATCACTGTCTACTCTCCAGTGTTTTGAAAAGCAGTTTCATGTCTATTTTGTCTTGTTTGTTTCAGGTGAAAGGGTAAATATGGTCCCTATTACATGATCTTTCAGGAAGCAGAAGTCCTACTTGTTCATTTTCAGAGACTTTGCTACACAATTTACTCAATGTCATAGAACTACATTCATGGAATTCCTGACCCTCATGTCTATTATTAACCCAATGCAAAAAGAACATCAAAGTTGACCCAGCAAGAACTTGTTTTTAGGAACTCTTTCTGGCTCTTCATGATCACTACTTTTTTTCTAAAGTCTTTACACCATGATATTCTGCAATTCTGTGAAAATGGACAGTAATCAATCTTTAATTTCCTCAATACAACCTCTCCTTTTTTAAAATTATCTTTCCTATTCTGCTGTGTTTCTATCATTTGTGAAAGTATATTAATATTGATTGCAAAAATCATACGTAGTAGTAACTGGATATGAAATTTCTTTGGACCTTACAATAGTCTACACAATAATTTAAAAAAGCAAGTTACTTTTCTCCCATTGAGGTTTCAGTTTCCTTAGTTGTATATGATGTCCTTTAATTACATTTCATCTATGGGGATAAATGGAGGGGGTTGGAGGTAAAGTGTGGACACCTGGCATTTTATCTCACAAATGATTCCCTTTTTAGCATGCCATTGCTTGTTAGATTTTGATTCTAGAATCTTACCTCCCACTACTTCCTTAATGAATACCCTTCAGTCCGGCTAGTTTCCTGACTGTCTTTTTGAAAAGGTAGAATTTATTTTCTCAAGCTGGATCACTTTTTTTTTTTTTAAATAAAATAACTTTCTGCCTAATCTCACCTATTCATATCTTATGTCTCATTTAGCAACCTTTAATCTTTCTTCGTGACTACTCTGTTATTACTGGGTGCTGATTATGACTCACAGTGACCCTATATGGCAAAATAGAAATGTCCCATAGGGTTTTCTGGGCTATAATCTTTACAGAAGCAGATTGTCAGTCATGTCTTTCTTCCACAGAACTGCCAGGTGGGTTCAAACCACCAACCTTTCAGTTAGTAGCTGAGTGCTTAAACAATGCATCACCAGCGCTCCTTATACTACTGGCACCAAAATTCCCTTCTTTAGGTTTCTAAAATATTCATATTCTATCTTATACAATTTAGCATTTGACTATATATACTTTGTACTTTTATGAATTTTTATATGCCTATAACTAAGAGATTTCTTAACCAGATTGCTAGCTCTTCATGGGTGGGGTATATGTTTCACATGTTTTAGTTCTCAAATAGCACAGTTCTGAGCAGAGACCTGTTGCTGTCAAGTCGATTCTGACTCACAGCAATCCTATGAGTCA